AACATCAGCAACAACAACATCAACAGCAGCAGAATCAGCAACAGTAACAACAATATCTATAGCAACAACAACTACAGCACATCAACAACAACATCTACAACTTCAAAACGCATATCATCGTCTTCAACAACATTAACCAACAACAACAACAACAGCAACAACACACGACGAACCAACAGCAATGACAACAACATTGCCAACACCAACAGCAACAACAACATCAACAGCAACAACAACAACAACAACAACAGAAACATCAACATCAGCAACAACAACAACAACAACAACAACATCAACAACAACATCAACAACAACAACAACATTACAAATGATTTACGTGAGTGTGTAAACTGTGCTGTAAAGATCACACCACTATGGAGACGCGATTGTAATGGAAACTACCTTTGTAACGCATGCGGGCTCTACTACAAGATGAATGGTCACAGTCGACCACTTGTTAAGCCCAAGCGGAGATTGGTCAGTTATTCATTCATTCATTCGCTCGCTCGTTCGTTCGTTCATTTGTTCATTCATTCATTCATTCATTCATTCATTCATTCATTCATTCATTCATTCGTTTATTTGTTCGTCTAGTTATGCATTCTTCTTGTCATTCCTCCATTCATCCATTCAATTCATCAATTTGAACATAACACATTACAAAATGACAGAAAGATTAACGTCTGATTGATTGAACGCTGTAAAATAGCAGCCTAGTTAAGCGTGGAGTAACCGGGTTCGAAAGCAAACAGATCCAACAGAAATATGCGCAAACTAACTTACATGTAGTTATATGTCCAGGCGTAATAAATATGTAGACAGTTAATCTTTAGCGAGGCTACATATATAATACTAACACATTATATAGTTGTCACTGCTTCTTGATTGGTTGTTTGGTTGGTTGGTTGATTGGTTGGTTGGTTGGATGTTCATTTAATTGGTTGGTTGTTTAGTTGGTTGGTTAGTTGGTTGGTTGGTTAGTTGGTTGGTTGGTTAGTTGGTTGGTTAGTTGAGTAATAGGTTTGCTGGCAAGTTAGTTAGGCGTTTAGTGGATGGATGTATAGATAGATTGACTGCTGGTTGAATTATTGATGGTTGATTGATTGATTGATTGATTGATTGATTGATTGATTGATTGATTGTTTGATTGATTGTTTGATTGTTTGATTGCTTGATTGATTGTCTAATTGACTAATTATTAATCGATTTACTAATTGGTTGATTGATTAATTGGTTGATTGATTAATTGAAAACAATTATCAACCAAACCACTGTTGATAGTTCACAAAAAAAGTAGCAGTCGTTTGGCCAGGTTGATCAATCATTAAAAACATGCTCATGTGTTACAATTACATGACAATCAGACAATTAAATAAGTAAATAAATAAATAATAAATAAATAATAAATAAATAATAATAATAATAATAATAATAAGAAGAAGAAGACAAAAGAATAATACCGTGCGAT